CAGGGAGAGGGAGCGGGACCTCCGCCTGGCCCGGGCTGCCTGCCTGGCACTGGGAGGGAGGAAGCTTAGCAGTGTCATCTGTGGGCATTCCAAAACCCTCTTCTCTTCTTCTCTACTCCAGGTACACTTGTTTAACTTAGTCTGAGTGCCTGCTTTTGCTACACTGAGATATGTGTCATTGAACTGCATAGAGTCCTTTGATGGGTTTCATTAGAAGTGGGAAAACACTCACCAACTGAAATTCATACTTGTGTTTATTTGCTGGCTACTGCCTCCTGAGTTATCATAAATGTCCTCTGATCTTTTTTTTTTCTCCCCTCAATAGTACTGATTCTTTCCCAGGAAGGAAAGGAACTTAGGAAAGAAAATGATAACGGGCCATGTTTCTTTAGGAGAGTCCTCAGGGTTTTTCTGCAATTAAATGTGCCAAGAGTTCAAGTCCTTATGACACATGGCTCTGTGTGCTCAAGAGTTCTGACTCCAGTAGAGATGTGTTTGATGTGTGCCTGGATGTGAAGGTCTCAGCTTATTGCCAGGAGGCATGGAAATGATTCAAGGGGTGTGATGGCCTTCTACTGAATTCCTTCTTTGGTATCCGTCATTTTGGCACCTCATTCTGTGTTTTGTTTTGGTTTTGATTTTGGGTGCAGGTATTAGGCCTTGAACTCAAAGCCCATGTTCTATCCCTTTTTCATTTAAAGCTAGCCACAGCTCCCCTGCCAGTTTTTTGCTAGTTAATTGGAGATAAGAGTCTCCCACTTGACTGCCTGGTCTGGCTTTGATCCTGTGAATCTCAGATCTCATCGTAGCTAGGATTACAGGTATGAGCCTTCCATGCTGGCATACTCTAGTTTTTTAAACTGTTTTATAACTATATTCAGGCTAGATGGACGCTTAAGTGATTATGTCTCAAATTTCTGGTACTAGTATATTCTATTCTTCCCCAAAGTAGGTTGCGTATGTGATTGCATTAAAATATTCAAGCAAAATACTCAGTGAAGGGTACAGATGGCTAACAGGCTTGATCCTCCTATGGCTCTTTCCCAGGTTCCCTGGTAATACTTACCAGGACATAGAATTCATATCCTGCTGTTTTTCACTTACCCCATGGTATGACAGGATTTTTTCCATCTTGCTGCCCAATCTTACTATTTTTTAATAATTGCATCAATCCTGGTGGAGCGGATGTACCCTGCTTTTTCCAAACCATTCCCATATCATTAGACATGAGATTGATTCCATGGTTTCCACTATTATAAGTAATCCTACAAATAGATGGCTTCCTTTGTGTAGCCTTTCCTTTCTTTTGAATTGTTTCCTTATAATACATTTTCAGAAGTGAAATTACAGGGTCACCTAGGACATGAACCTGTGGTTCTGGACATTATGGCTAACTGCCTTCTGGAAGCTGTAAACCAGATTACAGCCCTACAACCCAATGGCATGAACATTTGACATCAGTATTGTAAGCCTTCTCCTTTTTGCAAGCCTTTTCCTCTGTCTTTGCCCTTTTCCCCTTTTTTTATTTCCCCCAATATTGAGCGTAGTAGTCCTGTATTTTAATATTGAACTACAACCCCGGAATGAAATGATGGCTTCCTTCAATAATGGAATAGTGGACACAGCATAGCATCCTGCTGACACGGTCACAAACACGAAAGCATTTAGCTGTCAGGACCATTCTCCAGGCAAGTAATGTGAGGACCAGGGTACAAAGAGGAAGCTGAGGGAGGCCACTGTTCCTGTGGTTGACTGATCCATGATAGCCACTTGCTTCTTCCCCTTTTTTCTTCTTTCCCTCTATCCCCCCTTTCTTTCATCTTTTTTATTTATTATTATTATTATTATTTTGGGTCCAGTCATGGGCCTGAACTCTGGGCCTGGGCGCCGTCCCTCAGCTCTTCAGCTCAAGGCTAGCATGCTACCACTTGAGCCATAGCACCACTTCCGGCTTTTTTTCCCCTGCTTATGTGGTGCTGAGGAATCGAACCCAGGGCCTCATGCATGCAAGGCAAGAGCTCTACCACTGAGCCACTTTCCCAGCCCCCTTCCATCTTTTGATGGTACTTAGATGTGAACTCAGGGATGATGTCTGCTAGATTGGTGCTCTATCACTTGAGCTATGCCTCCATCCTGAGTTATTTTGGAGATGAAGTTTTGTGGACTTTTCTGCCTTGACTGTAAGTCTCTGGATCTCAGCCTACTTAGTAGCTAGGATTACAGGCAACGGTGATGAGCCCCTGGCACTCTGATTCCTTTCCAGACAATATTCCACCTCCCCATTTGGCCACTCATTTGGCATTCATGATAAGCAGCTGGACTGCCTGGCTGGTAGTGTGTAATGGCCTAGCTGCCAATGGTGGTGGTGACTTCAGAGCCCTCTTCTGTCTCAGCCCCTCTGTTCTGATGTTGCAGGTGGGCTGTTTCTTAGTGATCCAGGTCCCTTCTCTACTTCTCAGGAATAGCCAGAAAGCCCCACATGTGCATTTAGTGTAACCAGATTCATAGCATCATTGTTTGATAGGGCTATTGCATTTCAGAATTTTCACATGAATCTACCTTACATGTGAGACATTTCAATGACTGTGTAGTGTGATGTTTTGTACATTGAAAGCCCTCAGTTTTAGCCTTTGTGTTTGTGTTACTTAAGCTGAGCTTGGAGTGTAGGGGTCTTGTTCCTGGATTTTCATAAGCTCCCCTGCTTTTTTGGGGGTGGGTCGTGGGGCTTGTACTCTAGGCCTGGGCACTGTCCCTTATCTCCAGCTCAAGACCAGCACTCTACCACTTGAGCCACAGTACCACTTCCAGTTTTCTGAGTGGTTTATTGGAGATAAGTTTCACAGCTTTTCCTGCCTGGGCTGGCTTTGAACCGTGATCCTCAGATCTCAGCCTCCTGAGTAGCTAAGATTACAGGCATGAGCCACCAGCACCTGGCTTGAGCTATCATTTCTTTCATTGAGCTATCATTTCTGGACAAAGAAAGGAATAGGATCTATGAAAGGGAGTTGGGTTTAGTCTGCTTGGGGGAGGAAGTTGGAGAGGGCAGAGAGTGAGTCATATGCTAGAACTGGGGGTTTCTCCCCTGCCTCTCAGCTTGCTATAGGAGTAATGAGTAGGAAGCAGGTTGGGAAAATGGAGTTGAAGAGAGCTGTTTGGTTCTAGGGACAAGGATGCACACTCCCATCCAGTTTAGTCAATGTTGGGTGTTCTGCTTCCTACGACTGGTTTATCTCAGGATTTAGTGGAGTCATGTAAGAAGAAAAGTTACTGGAATAACAGAGAAAAAAGTTCTACCTGTAACAAAAAACAGGTAGCCAGGAATGTATGGAATGGAATCCTGAAATTAGGGAATGGTTCTGATAGAAATGTGGGAGAGGGCAGGTGCTGGTGGCTCACACACCTATAATCCTAGTGACTCAGGAGGCTGAAATCTGAAGATGTCGGTTCAAAGCCAACCTAGGCAGAAAAGTCTCCTGAGACTCAAATGGGAAGTGGTGCTGTGACTCAAAGTGTTAGTTAGTGAGCTAATGAGCTCAGGGACAGCACCCAAGCCCTGAGTTCAATCCTCACAACTGACCCCCCAAAAAATGTGGGGGAGGGAAAAAGGTGTGGTTAAAAAAGTACATGGCTTGTGGCTAGATTTTTAAGAAATTCTCTCAAATTTAATTGTTTTCTCAAACAGATCCCAGTCACATTGGTTTTAGTCTACTAAATTATATAAGGTTTCTATTTGGCCTTTCTCATTAGGATAGAGAAGGAATGAAACAGGGGAGAGTTGACATTTTGTCTCCAGAATTGATTATGGGCATACTAGTGCTGTTAGAAAACACAATCTGCAGCAAAACATGTGTGGCCCGTTTTTGTAAAGTTAGGTAAATGAGATACCTATTAAAATCTTTGAGTTCAGTGACACACACCTATAATCCCAGTACAAGAGGCCAGCCTGGGATAAATACCAAGACACTGTCACACAATGCAACAATGAGCAACAAATCCCACCAAACCTGCGTATGACTAGTTTCATTTCCATCAAGTCAGTGTTTTTAAATGTAGTAGAGAATGTTGAGCACGTAGCCTTTTATGGATTCTGACCTCCCTGGCAAGCTAGCTAGTGGCTCTGCTGTTTATTTCCCTCACCTAGTGACAGGATGGTGTGAGCCTCCTGTGGGCCATGTGGCATTTACCTGTGAAGTGTGGTTTGTTTCACTTGTGAGAGATCTCCAAGTTTGTTCGGCACATTTACAGATAGGATTCCTCCAGCTTTCTGCATCCTGCTGTGTGGTCCTTGAGTTCTAAAGTTAATGTATGGTGTTTTTTTTTTTTTAATTTTGTTTTGTTTTTGTTGGTCGTGGGTCTTGAACTCTGGGCCTGGGCACTGTCCCTCAGCTCTTCAGCTCAAGGCTAGTGCTCTACCCCTTGAGCCACAGTGCCACTTCCAGCATTTTCTGCTTATGTGGTGCTGAGGAATGGACTCCAGGACCTTGTGCGTGCAAGGCAAGCGCTCTACCACTGAGCCACCTTCCCAGCCCCAATGGACGGTGTTTTTAAGAGCATAAGTTACAGGCTCAGGCCTGCAATCCTAGCTACTCAGGAGGCTGAGATCTGAGGATTGTGATTTGAAGCCAGCCTAAGCAGGAAAGCCCAAGAATGAGACTCTTCACTCCAATTAACCTCCTCACAAAAAAGCTGGACCTGGTGGCGTGGCTCAAGTAGTAGAGTACTAGTCTTGAGCATACAAGCTCTAAGGGACCAGCACCCAGGCCTTGAGTTCTAGCTCCAGTACATACATGTCCACCATGCCCGAGCCCCACACACTAAATTGCCAGGATTAGATAATGCCATGGGGTAACGCCATGGGAGCCCAGTGAGGGCTCCTACTTGTGGGCTGCTGGACAGAGCAGGGCTGGCTTCTTGATTTCCTCCTGGGTGTGCTGAACTAGTAGGATGGGGTCAGCTGACAGTGATGGGTAACCATGTCTTCTCTGTCCCATGTCTGCCAGGCCGGGGCTCCAGTGATGCCTAGCGCGGGAGAAGGCCCCACCCCTGAGAACAGCGAGCTCAAGTATTCAGCTCAGGACGGGCTCTACATTGGCGTCAGTCTGTCTTCCCCAGCAGAAGTCACATCCTCTGTGCGACAGGATTCCTGGTGCGCTCTGGCCTTGGCCTGAGCTGGTGCTGCTGGGAGTAAAGAGGACTCCCCACTCTGAGGGCCTCGAACCAGCAGTCCACATGGTGGCAACCAGACAGACCGAACATTCCTCCGATGCGTGATTTCTGTGCCTTTGTTTTGAAAGTGATGTATTTCCCAAGAGGCTTGCTTCTGGGGAAAGGCCAACAGCAGTGGCACATGGCCGGCCTCCTGCAGCCGGGGCGGCCTCCGGCCAGCCAGTCTGCTTCTGCGCTGTCCCCTGAACTGCTGGCACAAACTGGGACGTGGACAATTGAGATTCTTTTTTTTTTTTTTTTTTTAAAGGTTAATGTGTATTGCCCCAAATCATGTGCTTCTTTGGATCGATTATGGTTTTTCTAGAAGTTCTTCACACCTGTGCCACATGCCAGGTTCACAAGTTCGTGGAGACCATTGGAGGCCGTTTGGTACTCACGGCTAAGAAGGAGGATTGCTTTCTGAGGTGTATTGTCAAGTGTATTTGTCAGTTTTCAAGACTGCCGAGCTGTGACTGAATCTTCTCGAAGCTCAGCTTGGGCGACTGATCTGAGCTCACTCAGAATTTGTAAACAGGGTAGCAAACAAGATATTTTTTTCTTCCATGTACACAATAATTTTTTTTTAAAAAGTGCAATTTGCGTTGCAGCAATCAGTGTTAAATCATTTGCATACGATTTAACAGCATTTTTTATAATGAATGTATACATTTTAACTTAATGGTACTTAAAATAATTTAAAAGAAAAAAATGTTAACTTAGACATTCTTAAGGATTTTACAAACTACATCCCATTTTTACCTTTGCAACTGTCCAAAGAAAACTCATGTCAAGAACAAATCCCTCTCTCAGGAAAAATTGCCTTTCTCTATTTGTTAAGAATTTTTATATGAGAATACCAATATACCCCTTTTTCTTTCACTGTGGATATGTGCTGGAAAATTTGCAACAAAAACTTTACTACCTAAAAAATAGCATTTGTAAATACTCTAGGCATCTGTACACGCTCTGATGAAGTCTGTATAGTGTGACTCACCACAGGTTGGTTTACATTAATTTTTTTAAAGGGATGTCAGCCGGGCGTTGGTAGCTCACGTCTATAATCCTAGCTACTTGGGAGGCTGAGATCTGAGGATCTTGGTTTAAAGTAAGCCTGGACAGGAAAGTCCTTGAGACTCTTATCTCCAATAAACTACTCAGAAGAAAGCCGGAAATGGTGCTGTGGCTCAAGTGGTAGAGCGTTAGCCTTGAGCAAAAGAAGCTCAGGGACAGCGCCTAGGCCTAAAGTTCAAGCCCCAGGACAGGCAAAAAGTTAAAAAAAAAAGGGGGGGGGGAATGTCATATGGAAACCTATTTCACCAGAGGTTAAAAAAAAATAAAAAGGGTATTGTTTTGTCTTCTATACAATGAGTTCCTTTCCTTTTAAATTGATTTGGATGCAACACAGGGTGGTTAAATCTTTATGAAGTAAGTGTGGGTATGGTGATGGAAACCTGCCTTAAGGATTTCCTTTTGGAGTTGGAGGCTTCGGTTTATTGGAAGTTGGCACTTGACATTGGATTTACTTACCATTAAATTGGTAACAACTTTTATTTTTGGACAGTCCTAAGGTTTGAACTCAGTACCCTGTGCCTTCTAGGTATGTGTGTATACATACTATGAGGTGTTTGGTTTTTTTTGTTGTTGTTGTTGGTTGTGGGGCTTGAACTCTGGCCTGGGTACTGTCCCTCAACTCTTGAGCTCAAGGCTAGCACTCTACCACTTGAGTCACAGCACCACTTCCAGGCTTTTCTATTTATGTGGTGCTGAGAAATTAACCCAGGGCCTATGTATGCAAGGCACTGAGCCACCTTCCCAGCCCTATACCGTGAGTTATACTGCAATTATTTTTACTGCTTTTTATTTCCCCAGATGAGCTCTTGCTTCCCACCCACCCACCCAAAGATGTCCTCAGACCCGAATCTTCTTTTGTGCCTCCCTGTAGCTGGGAAGCTACAACTGGCTTACTGAGATAAGGGTCTCACCAACTTTTTACCCTGATGGCTAGGAGCCACTAGCCTCCTTATTGATCTCTACCTCTCAAGTAGCTGGGATCAGAGGCTTGAATCATTGTGTTCAATGTGACAGATAGCAAGTCCAGGGCTTACTTCTTTGGGAATGAAATATATTTTGGTCCAAGAAGCATTTCCCTTTCTAGCTACCCTCTCTAGGAAAATGCCACGAAGTCTCAAAGCTTAGCTGAGGACAGAGGATCTTTAAGCTCTCTGGAAGAAAGGACCTGGACAGCCTCTTCTATTTTGCTTTTTCTCTTTGGGGTGGGGAGGCTGTCCCACCACACAAAATGGTGGCATTTAACTTTGGCTCCTTGGACGTGTGTGGCATTTTAGAATTTTCATGTTCTTATCAGGGTAGCCTTCCTTGGTGGTGGGTCTCTTTTAGTATTAGAAAATGTTGAGATAATTGTCCTGGGAGTGACTTAGGGTTGGTGTGTTGTGTTTGCATATGAGTCTGAAAAATTCATGGAAACCCATGCCTTGCTGACGTGGTAGGTTAGAGGTGATATGGAATGGAGGTAAGCTACAGGACTATCAAGTCTGCTCAGCACCAGTCTCCACAACTTTGGGAAAGTTATCTGACACTCATTTCCTAATCTGCAGACAAAGCAAATAGCATTAATTCCAGGACTGCAAGAACTATAATCCACACCAAGTGGTGAGCTGTACCTGGCAGCTTGAGCATTCAGGGTTAACTTGACCTTGAAGGAGGAGGAGTCTGATGTCACCTGTGTTTCTCGAACCAGACTGAGGTGGCTAAAATGGAGGAGGATGTGTGAAATGTTCTAGTTTACCCTGGGCTAGTAGGTGTTTTTTTGTTTGTTTTTTGTTTTGCCAGTCCTGGGGCTTGAACTCAGGCCTGAGCACTATCCCTGAGCTGCTTTTGGTCAAGGCTAGCATTCTACCACTTGATCCACAGGGCTGCTTCTAGCTTTTTCTGTTTATGTGATACTGAGGAATCAAACCCAGGGCTTTATGCATGCTAAGCAAGCACTGTACCACTAAGTCACCTTCCTAGTCCCAAGGGCTAGTTGTTTTATAGAGTTAGAAAATGACTTCACTGGCTGAGTTTTCCTCCCTCCTTCAGTTCTTATTACTCTTAGTGCTTTCAGAAGGATTGAGAATGGTTAAAGTGAATTTTTTTTTTTCTTTTTGTCTGTCGTGGGGCTTGAACTCTGGGCCTGGGCGCTGTCCCTCAGCTCTTCAGCTCAAGGCTAGCACTCTACCACTTGAGCTACAGCACCACTTCGGTTTTCTGGTGGTTTATTGGAGATAAGAGTCTTGGGGACTTTCCTGCCAGGGCTGGCTTTGATCCATAATCCTCAGATCTCAGCCTCCTGAGTAGCTAGGATTACAGGCGTGAGCCACGGGCACCCGCCCATATATTTTGTGGTTGGAAATGAATTTTTATTTTGTTACTGTTGCATCAAAATGCCTTTTGGGGGTGGTGGTGGTGGCGGGGAAGGTAGTTGGGAATGTTCTTCAATATTGTTTCTTCTAGCCCTAAAACTATCATTAAGTTTCTAAATCCCTCTTTCCCTCCTTATCTTCCTCCTCCTTTTCCTCCTTTTTAGGATACAAAGTTAAACAAAAAAAAAAAACAAAAACCTCAGTTGTCATGAAATAAAATACAAAGGTCAGAAGGAAGGGAAATGATCTCTGGCTGCCTCTCCCAACAACCAACTCCACTAATCTGGGCCATCTAAGCCGCTACTTTCTTACCTGTGATAATAAAACAAGCTCAGAAACATGTTCCAAGTTCTACACAATCTCAACATCCCCCATCCTTAAAAGATGGCATACAAAATCATCCATGTGAATGTATTCTTAGCTTAAGGATCCTCATACCTATTCGGATGAGTTGCAGAATTTGTCCTGTCACCCTTGGCTGATTTCTAGGCCATCTTGAATAAATGAAGGCTGTCTGGAGTCTCTCTTCAGGGTCACTTCATGTTGCTTCCTGGTGCCTACGGGAGGGTCAGGAAAGCAAAAGGCAGCCATTCATTTCCCCCTGCAAATAAATTAACTTCTGGCTCATGGGAAATGTTTTCCCCAGGCCTTGGAAATTTAGTGTAATTTCAGATCATAGATAAATTAGCTGCTGGGAGTTGACCCAGCACGTCTGCAGCGGCTTTGCCAGGTCCCAAGCCGGGGGCTGTGTAGTACTTTGGCGCATTAGGTTCTGTGTACCCGCATTGCCTGTGGGTTCTGTGGGTTTGACTGGGTTCTGATGGTGAAGGAAAATGCAGGGGTGAGTGCCGCAAGTGGGGACAGCGGGCAGACATTTAATCTAATTAGGCTGCTCCAGCTTATTACAATGCAGTTTGTTTCTGGGTTGAAATAAATCAATTTGCCAATACTAGTCACTTCTTATTGCTTGGAAGCTCTCATTAGCAGTCAGAAATCAGTTTGATTATTTTAGCAGGGAAACAAGTAGTAATGACTTTGATAGACCGTTCCTCCAATCCCCACCCCCACCCCAGCATAAGGGTTTGAACTTAGGGCTTTCAGCTCACATCTCTTTTTTTCTCACAGCTGATGCTCCACTGCTTGAAACTATGATCCCAGCCTTATGTTTTACCAGTTATTTGGAGACAGACTATCTTGGATTTTTCTTCCCAGACTATCTGAACCAAGATCTTCAGCCTCCTGAGTAGCTAGGACTACAAGTATGAGTTAGTGGTACCCAGCTGAGAAACTAAATCTTTTGAACAGTCTGTGGGTCAAAATTTGGTCTGTATACCAGGCTCAGGTGGCTCACATCTGTAATCCTTGCCTCTCAGGAGGCTGAGATCTGAAGATCATGGTTTGAAGCCAGCCAGGGCATGAAAGTCTGGGAGACTCTTATCTCCAATAATTACCAAAAAAGCTCAAATGGTATAGTACTAGCTCTGGGCAAAAAAAGAGTTCAGAGACAGCACTCAGGCCCAGAGTTCAAGCCCTGAGTGATTGGCACACACACATAAAACCCACTTTTTATTTTTTTGTCTTTATACCTCTGATTGCTCGAGGTCTCATGATAGATTTATGGGACCAGGTTCAAAAGAGCAGGCTGCTTGACTAATGTGTGTGTGTGTGTGTTTGTGTGTGTGTGTGTGTGTGTTACAAGAAGTTGCTAAACAGTGGAGGACAGGCAGCAGATAGAATATGGGGCTTTAGTTTTGTCCAGCTCTAAGCTATGGGGAGGTCGAAAGCCTAAGTTCATAGGGACTTAGGATAAATTGTTTCAGGCTGATGGTGCCAAATAACCACCACAGGTTAGTCAGGAGGTTGTAGGTGTACATGTAACCCTCAAGACACACCAGAGTAAGTATCCATGCTCCCCTACCTATCTGAGGCTCCATCATAGCTGCTCTAGAAAGCCAGCCTGTTACCTGGTGCCAAATTCTTCCTGTTCAGTAACTCACCAAGAAGTGATGGTTCCATGGCTGAAGCCATGACTTACATGTCATGGGATAATTATTTAGCTTGGCGGACCTTTCTTGTGTGTTTAAAAGAATAAGAGTAAGCAGCCTATTTATTTGATTTATTTAGTGCTAATACTGGGGCTTGAACTCAGGTCCTCCTGCTCTTGCCTAGCTTTTCCGCTCAAGGCTGATTCTTTACCATTTGAACCACTTCTCCACTGGTTAGTCAGAGGGGAGAGTCTCAGATTTGTCTGCCTGGACTGGCCTGACTTTAAGTCAAGATCCTCAGATCTCAACCTTCTAAGGTAGCTAGGATTTCAGGCCTGAGTCATTGGCACCCAGAAAGTTAGAACATTTCAGTAGTGGCTAAACTATAGCACTTAAGAAAAGTAAATAAATAAAAGGAAAAACTGAGAACTAACCAGACATCCAGCAGCTTTAGGACAAGGTGAGTTCCTTCTGTAGGCCTCAGTCTCAGTGTAATAAAAAGGTGAGCAGTGTATTCTGGAAGGTTCCTTCCATTTGCCTTTGCATTATAAGGTCCCAAGGGCAGATTCCATCTGAGATGATAGTGGGTCTTTGGCTAGATCTTG